GTGCGATGCCGTGTGTAGTGACTAGCCGGGTCGTTACAGGAACTTATGTTTGTAGCCTAATAAGAGCAAGAGCCATTCTCTTTTCTATCTCAAACTTAAACTTAAGGTCTTTTCACTTTTTTTTTTCTTTTGGAAAATTGTGTCATTGTGGTATAAACCCGAGATTCATTAAAATGAACCATATATTATAATTATTTTATTTTATCTTTAGAGAAATAAAATGTTACTATAAACAATAATATATTATTAGGTTAAACTGAATAGTCTCTTTTTAAATAATAAAGAGTACGTTGGACTTACGATGGCAAATATCCAATGACTTTAAAAAACAAATTTATTTCATTAATTCAATTTATTAGGACAAACCTTTATTTTTTCTTAGAAAGTCTTTTTTATTACAAAAAATCTAATTTCAGCTTATTTATCCCTAAAGTCTTTTATTTAATTAAAATTCTTATTTTATTTTATACATTAATGTTAGGAGTTTTACACTTAATTAATAGTAACTAACAAAATAGGACAAAATAAATAATAATCGAAGTATTTGAAATTTTTTCATGCCTTATTGTGTTTCGTGATCAACCTTAATTTTAAGGTTAAAAAATTTATTTTAGTAACAAGAGAAAGTTAACAACATATTATCAAATACTATTTTAGTAATACTTTTATTAAAAAAAATGTTATATACAATAATATACAAAAAAATATCAATATAAAAATAATATATGTAGACATAAATTTGTTTGATATATAATTATACATAATTTTAATATTAATTTTGAATGAAATTCAATAACATATATTATGTGTTATTATAGTATATACCAACACTTTTTTTTAACAATATACCAATATATACTATATTTATTGTGTAAGTAAAAATAATTTTTAATAACAAATATTATATTATTATAGGGTGAGTGTCATTATTTTATATATATTTTAAATAATAAAGAGTACGTTGGACTTACGATGGCAAATATCCAATGACTTTAAAAAACAAATTTATTTCATTAATTCAATTTATTAGGACAAACCTTTATTTTTTCTTAGAAAGTCTTTTTTATTACAAAAAATCTAATTTCAGCTTATTTATCCCTAAAGTCTTTTATTTAATTAAAATTCTTATTTTATTTTATACATTAATGTTAGGAGTTTTACACTTAATTAATAGTAACTAACAAAATAGGACAAAATAAATAATAATCGAAGTATTTGAAATTTTTTCATGCCTTATTGTGTTTCGTGATCAACCTTAATTTTAAGGTTAAAAAATTTATTTTAGTAACAAGAGAAAGTTAACAACATATTATCAAATACTATTTTAGTAATACTTTTATTAAAAAAAATGTTATATACAATAATATACAAAAAAATATCAATATAAAAATAATATATGTAGACATAAATTTGTTTGATATATAATTATACATAATTTTAATATTAATTTTGAATGAAATTCAATAACATATATTATGTGTTATTATAGTATATACCAACACTTTTTTTTAACAATATACCAATATATACTATATTTATTGTGTAAGTAAAAATAATTTTTAATAACAAATATTATATTATTATAGGGTGAGTGTCATTATTTTATATATATATATATATATATATATATAAATTCCTAGTGTTTTTTGTGATTATTGGTTAAAAAATATTATAAATTAGAAATTTCAGTGATTTGTGTTTTATTTAATAATTCTGTCCCATAATTTAATGGTGAAACCCATAAAATTTTATGATTTTTAATATATTTTAATAAAAGAAATATTAGAAAAAATGTTTTTAATATTTGTATTAATAATAAAAATAAATTTAAATTATAATTATAATAATTTTCTTATTTTCATAATATTAATTTGTTCTCTTTTTTCTCTATTACATAACTTATCCTATCTCCCACTTTTATCTTTTTTTTTCCTTGTCTCTTTTATGATGTAAGAAACTTGTAAATTGTTAGATGAATATAATTTCCCTTTAAACTATGACAAAAATCAGAAGAAAGTATTATATGCACCAAAATATATATAAAAGAAGAATAAACTCATTTATTATAAAACAAAGGTTAAGCATACGAAATTGATGAACTAATTTTATTATCTAAAACTTTTACAACCCATGAATTAATCGAATTCCACCGAAACAATAATGAAATATTGAGAGTCAAAAAAAGACAAAAAGGTGGAAAGACAATGATATGAAAAAAGGTCAACGATGTAAATGGATTATACAAATTTAAGGCTAGAAAGTTTATTCCCCAAGTAAATTTAGTTATTATTCTTTTCATATTTACTCTATTTTGTACCTATGTCGATTTCTTTTGTTTAACTCTGTATCAAGTCTATCTTTACAATCCTTGCTCAGGGATTCTGAACATGATATATCAACATTTAAATTACTTTAATTTGATGTTGATCTTAAGAAGAAAAAAAAGTTGAACAATGTCAAGACATGGAATACATTAATTTAGTTTAGAGACCAACCATAACTACACATAAAAAACAGTAGCTAGTTGTAAGTTGGAATCATGGTCGAAGTTCTGTTTGGTGAGTCTATTCCCAAAGTGAAATGTGAGCTTCGCAAATGGCAATTTTAATTCAAGAGAATAGACACTTGACCAAACAGGGAGATTGTTTTGCCATTGTAAACTCATAGTTCAATTTGTCGTCTGATATAGACATATACACAACTTGATTGCTTTTAGTTTCGCTTTAATCATTTTTTATTTTCACCAACAATTTTACTACAATAAACTGAAGGGAAAAAAAAGTGATCCGCAAAAAAGAGAGGATAATTTTACATTAACTGTATGTATATAAATGAGAAATAATACTTAATTTACAATAAATTTTTGTAAGACTGAGTTAAACTTATAATCTTAAGATAATATTAAAACATATATTCTAATAATTATTAATATTATTAGTTTTAACATATTATTTAATATTATTGAATTATTCATAAATACTCAATCTTATAATTCATGTTTGAAATATTTAATTCTTGTTAAAAAGGGTGTGTTTAAAATTTTATATCAACTAACAATGTAAATATAAACTTTATGTTTAGGATATTCATTTTTCAACACAAAAATGTATATTAAAAGTTTCACTTTAACAAGTGATATAAACGAAGAAAGATAATTTTTTACAAATTAATTTTATAAAATCTTATAAAATCCAGCTAGAAGTATAATGTATTTTCTAAAATGGTATAACATGACAAAATTTTTTAGAGTATAAAATTCATGTGTCGCTATTGACTAACTTCTTAGAATTCCAATTTGAGCACTGTACATATTAATTTTTTCTTTCTTTTCATTTATATTTTATCCATGTCTTTCATTTATTTGTCTTTTGAATATAGGAGGTAAAGTAATCATAATCTCAGACTCATCATTTAATTCCGACATTGTCATGAAGTGCCAATCTAACTTATATTTCCACTTTAATGGTCGATTCACCATCAAAAGCATAATATAAGATGGAAAGGGCATGCCACTTTCTTCCCCAAAATCACTCACCAACTTTATCCGAAGAACAGTTAAAAGTTTATACTCGTTGCACGTACACATGGCGGTGACCTAATTCTTCATTCCAACAATATTACATAGAAAAACTCTACTCTATGAGAAAAATATTGCTTTTTAATGAAAATAAAACAAAACCTAAGAAGTATCCGGTCTAATTTAATTTAGTTAAAAAACAATAGTATTATTCTTAAAACGATTCAAATTAAGCCCAAATTGTTTTTGATAATATTAATGTAAACTAAACCTCTAACCCCATCCTTAACATATTCACATTTGTGACCAAAGCAACACTTTTTTTTATTCCCCTTTATTTTCTTTGTCTTTGGCCAAACACTTCAACGTCAAAACAGCTACTTGGGTCACAGCAAAATCCAAGCCAAACAGTGCCACGCGCTGCCACCAAGTTAAAAGGAAACAACTTGCTTGTCTTATTAGCGCGTGAGTGCCACGCTCCTCATGACGAGTAGGAAACAACAAATATTAAGATTCTATCCTGTCAGAAAAATTTATCACTCACTCACTCATAGACACAGTGAGAGACCCTCCAACACTAGAAGAAGAGAGAGAAAGTTAAAAAATAAAATAAAATAAAAATTGATTAGGCATGTTTGAGTTTAGTTTTTAACCTATATAAATCATTGGCGAATGTGAACACATGAGAGAGAGAAAGTGTGTGTAACTGTTTATGCATACAGATACAGAATAGAATACAGATCCATTCCAAGTTTCCAATACTTGCTTCTTTACCTGCTCTTGTTGTTCTTGCTACATTTAGGCGCATTTTAGCATCTAACCACCAAACCCTAAAAAAGCATTATCCTCCTTCTTTGCTGTGCTTAACCCTTTTTTTTTTCTTTTCTTTTCTCTTCATTTATTTTCCCCTCTTCAACAATAATAATCATGGCAATCATTTTCTCCCTCTGAAAACTTTCCCTTGCTCCAAACACATCCTCTTTACAGATCCTCTTATTTCTCTTTTCACATTTTTCTTTTCTTATTTCTTTGTTTCTTTGTTGCTGCCAAAACAATTTGTTGAAGAGAGAGAGAGAGAGAGAGGCAAGCAAAGGTTTCAGCTTTAGATCTGGGGGAGCTAAGGTTGTTTGAAGCAATGGAGACACCCCATGTCTCTTGGTCTTTGTCTTTGACATGAAATGAAAGTTTCTTGCTTTCTTCTTTGACCCTTCTTCTTCTTCCTCCTCTTCTTCTTCTTCTTCCATCTTAGTCTTTCTACTACTACTTACTTGGTAACTTTCTAAATTAGCACTAACTTGTGAAAAAGTGAAAGAGGGTCTCAGATTTTGGGAACAATGCTGGCCATTGGGGGACATGGCACCAGTATCCGCACAAGCACTACTTGCACTGCTTTGCTCAGAGAACTTGAGGTCTTTCTCTTTCTTCTTTGGTGTTGCAAAATTCTGGATTTTGGAATTTGTTGGTGCAAAAATGAGGACATGGGGTGTTCTTTTTCTTAATGAAGAGTCTGCTTGTGATGATTTGTTTATGATGTATGCTTACTTTTTTTTCTTCATCATCTTCTTCTTGGCTATTCTCTACCCAATGATGCCTTCTTTCTCCTCAGGTCAACTTTTTGTCTGTTTTACTGTGTCAAAAGGAAAAGCACTGATAGGGTCTCTGTAGGTTATTTTATTATAAGGGAAGGGGCTTTGTCTTTCTTCATGAAATTGATTACCTTGAAAAGATCTTTTTTTTCCTAGCCTTTTTATTTTTCTCTAAAATTTCCATTTTTTAGTCTAAATTTTGAAGGGTACTTTTTTTGGCAAATGGGTTGCTGCGAATTTTTTTAAAATTCATTGTACTGGGATTCTTGATGCATTTTAAAAGTTACCCGTTCAGTAGTTAGTACGGGTTTTCCGTTGACTTGGTCTTTATTATTCATCTATTTATTACAGTGCAATGTTTCTTCAATCTTATTGCTTCTGTGAGATGTGATGACACGCCCATGAAACCGGTTTCTGGTTTGGTGGCAATTTGGTTAAGCCTTGGTGTAGTGTTTTATAATTTTGTTGATTTGCATTTTTGTGTCTAGGAAGCTAATGGCAAACTGTTTGTTGTTTTCTGTTTTTACCTTATTTGTTAATTTTGTTTTCCACCACTGTTTGTGTTTTTGTTGGGCTGACATATCCTATTATGTATGCAGCAAATATGGAACGATATTGGGGAGAGTGAGGTGGATAAAGATCGTATGTTGATGGAACTGGAGAGGGAATGCTTAGAAGTTTACAGGAGAAAGGTTGATGAGGCTGCTAACACCAAAGCACGCTTTCATCAAACAGTTGCTGCCAAGGAAGCAGAGCTTGCAACACTAACAGCTGCCCTAGGCGAACACGATATTCATTCACCGGTAAAAAGAAAACTCAAGTCAATTTCATGCCTGGCATTCCAGTAATTTGCTGTCCAGATATTAAAAAAAAGTATAATTGTTGAAGTATTCGAAATTGGCAAGGAGCTTGTAGCTCAACTTGCACCAGTTCTGAGTTCAAGTCTGTAATATTAGAGTTTAATGATGTTTTTAGTAAAGCTTCAATCCTCCACCATGTCTCCTACTCACACCTGACCTGGGTCCTACATCTGCAATCCAATGTGCCAAACCAAAGGAAAAAATTGGAGATGAACTTTAGGTGCAGGAGGACTATATGAAATTTGGAATAGAAATGTTGGAGGAAAGGGTGTAGAACCTTTTTACTGTTCTCATGAAATATGTGCAAACTACCAAGTATATTCCTATTATTGAGTATACGGAAGAGTTGTTTTCATATTATGTGTTGATCAAGGAGATATCTGTGTTATTTACGTGGTTAGTGTGTATCTTCAATCTGCCGGTTTGAGGGAAAAGGGGATATCATGTGAGCATGCTAAGAGGATATAAATAGGAATTAACTTTCTGGTCTTAGAATGACTTGGGATAAAAGATTTACTTGTATGATACGACTTTCTGATCCTTTTTCTGTGAATTTTGTAGATTAAGATAGAGAAGAGATCTGCATCCCTGAAGGAGAAACTTTCATCCATTACACCTTTGGTTGAAGAATTGAAGAAGAAAAAAGAGGAAAGGTTGAAACAATTTGCAGATGTAAAGACTCAAATAGAAAAGATAAGTGGGGAGATTTTTGGATTCCATTCTGTCAATAATGGTTTGAGCAGCACAACAATTGAGGATGAACAGGATTTGTCACTTAGAAGACTCAATGAATATCAAACACATCTCCGTTCTCTTCAAAAGGAAAAGGTTTGTATTATGAGTTGAACTGACCCTTGAACTCCCTGTAGCTGTGTGGTTATGGGTTAATAATAAATCTTCTGCAAGTTTTGTGAAGGATCAATTCATATAAATATTCTTTTATTATTTGGGCACAATCCCTTCCATTTACAGATACATTCTTTTTAGGGATGAGCCCCCCTCTACCCCCACACATTAAAAAGTAGTACATATGGCAATTCAAATGCTCTTCTTTACCCATTGTATTCTTATTTTAAATGCCTCTCTTCTACATTAAAGATTTTATGGGGTAAGAGTCGATTCTTCTTTCTTAACTCTTTTTTTTTTTTTTTGTATTTTCTATGCTTCTTTTTTTTCAGTCTGACCGCCTTCAAAAGGTCTTGCAATGCGTGAACGAGGTGCATTCTCTCTGTAGTGTGCTTGGGTTGGATTTTGGCCAGACTGTGGGTGATGTACATCCAAGTTTGCATGGGACTCAGGTGGAACAATCGACTAATATTAGCAATAGCACACTGGAAGGTCTAGAGCAGACCATTCTCAAGTTAAAAATAGAAAGGAAAGCTAGAATCCAGAAGGTGATTTATCTGCACCATACTTAATTGCTTCTAGTTTGTTTACTTGCTGTAATTTCTTCCCCTCCTTCACTCTGGCCTGGTATTTATATACTCTTTATAAATGCAGCTGAAGGATGTTGTAGCTAAACTATTTGAACTTTGGAATTTGATGGATTCATCAAAAGAAGAGAGAAACTGTTTTATGAGGATTACTTCAATTGTTGGAACCTCGGAATCAGAAATCACTGAACGAGGTGTTCTTTCAACAGAGATGATAGAAAAGGTCTGTAAAGCTTCTTTTGGTTCCCTGCTTCCCTGACCCTTTATTTTTCTTTCATTCTTTGTCGAAGGACCTCATAGACTGAAAAGTCCTTTTGCAGGCTTCAGCAGAAGTGGAAAGGCTTGCCAAACTAAAAGCAAGCAGAATGAAAGAACTTGTTTTTAAGAAGAGGTCCGAGTTAGAGGAAATATGTAGATCGACTCACATTGAACCAGATACAAGTACTGCGGCCGAGAAAGCTAGTGCATTAATAGATTCTGGTATGTTCCTTTGCATTAAATCGATTATTAACCTATAACATGTTAGCTGTTTTTGAGAACAGCTTTTTTCTGAGAAACAATTATTTTTCAAAGCTCTCCTAGGACGCAATTGAAAATAAGGGATTATTATGTCTGTAAAATAAGTTGAACCAAACACAGTTACTTTAGTAAATCCTTTTTTTTCCCAGATTTACCTAGAAATGATTTGACATTATTGAACCTTACTGTTTTTTGTATAGGCCTGGTTGATCCTTCTGAACTATTGGCTAACATTGAAGCTCAGATAATCAAGGCAAAAAATGAAGCTTTGAGCAGAAAAGAAGTAACAGACAGGATTGATAAGTGGCTTTCTGCATGTGAAGAGGAAAATTGGCTTGATGAATATAATCAAGTAAGCCAGAAATTTTTAATTTATATAACTTCATAAGCTTGTTGGTAGTACACAGACCTGCCAGAGTTTTCACTTATTTTGCTTTTACTTCTCTTTGTATTTTTTGTGCCATCCCAAGCTCTTGTATTTTTGTATTGGAAGTTTTCTGCATGTTACTCTATTTTGTTGAAGGATTATTTAATACCTTATGTTTTTCATTAAAAGAGGTTTTTGCATGGAAGTCTCAAGATCACTTGTGAAGACTCCATATAAAATTGCGATGTCAGGTGAACTAAAGTGGAAGTTGATGAAACAGAAAGTTTAAAGTGGGACCAAATATACTTATAAATTTCAATCTTATTGTAATCTTGAGTTTTGTGTTTGTATCTATGTGATCAGTATATATAATAGGCCTCGTTTGTGTTTTGTATCTTGTTCAAGCTCTATCAATCTGATGTGGCAGTTTGTGATGCCATATACTTTTTTAATAGAATACAATAATACTGCCCACTAATTAGGCAAATGGTTCAGAGTATTATGCACATATATGTCATTGCATTTAATTTCATTTATGAACTAGTTACTGTTAGATCATTTAGTTTGTTCTCTGAAGTAATATAAAGAATTTCAGGATGACAACCGGTACAGTGCTGGGCGAGGTGCTCACATTAATCTTAAGCGTGCAGAACGTGCTAGAATAACTGTAGGAAAAATTCCAGGTATTGCTTTTAATTTATAAATGAATGCCTATCTTTTATTTACAGTGCCATTTGGATTTTTGATGACAGTGTCTTCTGTTTCCAGCTATGGTTGACAATCTTATTAACAAAACACTAGCCTGGGAGGATGAGAAGAAGACTCATTTTCTATATGATGGGGTAAGCTTTGATTTTCTTAAAGGCTAAAAAGAATTTTTGGTTGTGTTCTCTTTCTTGAAACTTTTTTAAGCATGTAAATTTAATTGTTCAATATTATCTGTAGGTACGTTTGGTGTCTATATTAGACGATTATAAACTGGCCAGACTACAGAAAGAAGAAGATAAGAGACGACACAGGGTAAATTTACTTGTTTGTACACATTTGCCATAATTATTTGTTGTTTGTCCACAAATTGATCTTTGAATATAAAAATAAAAAGGATTTATTTTAGCTATAATGTTTAGCTAATGGGCGTGTATCTTGTTGAATCTCACAGGACCAAAAGAAGCTGCAAGATTTACTCTTGAATCAGAAGGAAGCCATGTATGGTTCTAAACCCAGTCCAAGAAAAAATAACAGCTTTAGAAAGCCAAATGGGTATCGCGCGAATGGCAATGGATCTATGCCACCTACACCTCGCCGTAACTCCCTAAGTGGTGGGACAACATCTGAACTACTGACACCACGGTCCTACTCTGGCCGCCAGAATGGATATTTCAAGGAAATGAGAAGATTGTCTACAGCACCTCTGAACTTTGTGGCTATATCTAAGGAAGATACTATGTCATATGCTTCCCTTTGTGGTTCAGAGCCTGATTCTCCACCCCAACTTTAAATGATAAAAAAAATGGTAGGTTGTGGTTGCAATCTGCAATTGTTATATTATTATGTACATAGGCCATGTTTAGATAAATTTTTCGCAAAGTACTTACTGTCTCTGTTCTCTATTATTAGTAAAAAAAAAATCACATTTTATTCTTAAATATAAAAAATTTCAACTATTCTTACTTCATTTAAGATATTCTTCCTAAAATTTTCTTCATTTAATGCATGATCTTCTAGTTACACCACTTTTTTGAGCATTTATAGCAAAGACAATTTAGGAAGAATATTATAAAATGGGTAAAATTTAATATATAGTTAATTGATTTTCTTAATATATGTGAAATTATATATATATTTTTTGGTTTATAATAAAGAGCAAAGGGAAGAAAAATAAGAAGGTAAAATGAATCAAATTTTTTTATAAATTAAAATTAGTTTATGCATAAGTTAGAATAAGCTTTTGGAGAAAACTAAAAAAAGTTTTTATAATGTAGTTTATGTGTAAGTGCTTATTTTAACTTGAGAAATTTAATTCATTTTATCTTGTTTTTTTTTCCTAGAAGTATTTATTCATTCTATTGAGAAATTTATCCAAATAGGACCTTGATATGCATGATCTGATTTCTTGACCGCGGTCATGTTTTCACTAAAAGATAATTTAATCATATTCTACTTGTGCAGGAATAGGCTAAAAAAGATTTTCTTGGGCAGTGCCCGTAAACATGATTGAAGCCAGCACAAACCTTGTGAATACGAGATGGATTGTACACTAGTATTTGCTTGTAATAAGCCGAGATATACGTGGACAGTGATAGCTGACATGAGGATACGAATTAGGGTGTTTATGCTTTGAAGAACATTAGCTTTGGGAAGAGTGTTGATACTTGGTAGGGACAGTGCAGGACTCCTTTGTAGAGGGTAAACAGTGGAAATCATAGTGTTTGACCACCATGTATGTTGTGTGTTTTGTTTGTGTTTTACTTGTGTATATATGTTTTAAGTGTGATGTTCATCATATTTCATGTAGTAGTAACTAAGATTATTATTTTGATTCATAACTGTAGGAGCGTCCATGCTATATACCTCATGCCCTTTTATGTTTGTTGTATGTGATAATCCAAGTTCAGATGTTATTTTTCTGGTCAATGCAAGCTTTACTTATTTGCACCAATGAACTTGTTTGAATGTTACATGTGAATGCATGTAATCCTAGTTGCCTAGTCTTGATGACTTTGTGGCATTGTGGACCTGATAGGTAATCATATTTTTTTTAATTTACAAAAGAATTAATGTTAGAGACTGGTTGAGATTTCACGATCTTGAACCATGGAATCATTGAAAAGGACTACTTGAAACATGAACGTGAATCTGGATTGAAAGGTAATATGTCAAATGAAGCAGTGAATAATCATTAAATGATACAAACAAAATGAAATAAGATAGCTGATAATAGGTAGTACTTAACAAGATTGGATTCACTATAAATTTGTGTCCCTTTTCTATTTTAACTCAGCAAAGCAATGAACGGTATGAATGTAATTCGCATCAAAGTATTTGTTCCTTAGTGTAGTTACAGATTATAATTAGATTTGCTGAGTATAACAAGATTAGTGTGAGGCTGTAATAAAGTCACGTAGAGAAAAATAATAGTAAATCGACTAGAAACTGAATTGCTTTGACTTGTTTCTTGCGAATCAAATTTATATGATTATTTTTTTATTTTTTTTTTATGTAGACTCAAGTTTTACTTGTTTCTTGTGAATCAAACTGATCGTAACATAAAGTATAAATTATTATGAAGAATATAAAAGAAAAGCTTTTTACCGTATGCTTTAGAATAATTATGAGCTTTTGGTTGAAATTTGTTGAACTCTTGGATCGACCTTTCGTGGTGCCCACTATATTTTAAGTGATATTTATAAAAAAAAAAGTTAATGTATTTATTTGTTGATTTGGTTTTTTAGACTAAAAGTTATATTTTCTCTTTTTGACTTAATCATTTAAAAGTTATTATGTTATCTTCTTGACTTGATGATTTGATCTTAAATAGTTTTATGAAACTATTTTTCTTTTCTTATATAAATACAACTATTTTATAATGGTTTAGGAGTTCTTCCTCATTGATTATGCATTGTGGACTTCTTGGGATTGTTTGTTGTTGCAAAATTGCAACTACCTTCGGTGCAAAATCAATGAGGATTAAGGAAACCAAGGAAGGCACATATTCATGAAGAAATGGAGTTGGCAACCTTACCCTTGTTTGGTTGGGTTGAAATAGGTGGGAAAAAGGAAGTAATGAGTGGAAATAAGTTGAGTGGTTTGGTTGATGAAAAATAAGGGGTGAGAAATTAAAAAATGATGGACTTTACACCCTTTTTATCAGTGTTTTAAAACCCGGACCGACCCGGCCGGTCGGACCGGTTGGACCGGGAACCGGTGGTCCAGCCGGTCCGAATTTGAAGTTAGATCGGTTATGAGTCGACCCGTTTCAAACCGGATTGAACCGGTCAATTTTCCGGTTCAATTGGTGAACCGGTGGGTCAAACTGGTTCAACCACTTTTTTTTTTTTTTTAATTTTTTAAGGGACCATAAATCACAAAAATAATAATGAAAATTGAATCTCTTAATGAAAAAGCAAGGAGTCTTATTAAATATAACAATGACTACTTGTTCTAATATATTTGTTTGCAATATATACAACTTAAATAACTTTTATAGTATATTATTAATTTTAAATTATATATTTAATAATTCAATATCTATGTAAATATTACATATATTATTTTGTGATATTAATTGCAAGCATATTATATATGTACATATTATTTATATTTTTAATTTGTATTAATATACCGTTTAACATGTAATTTTTTTATGTATTTTTTTACAAAATAAAAATAAAAATAATTTTAAATAAGATAGAAAAATTTAAATTTAAAATAAGATATGAATTTATTAAAATTTATAAGTATAAATATATTTAATATGAATATTTTTTAATAAAAATAAATAAAAATCGAGTCATGCGGTTCAACCAGTGACCCACCGGTTCAACCTTTGACCCACTGACCCAATACCTTAACCGGTTCGATGACCGGTCCGGTTTTTAAAACTATGCTTTTTATTTCAATGCAAGATTGATTGAAAATGGGAAAGAGAAGTCTATTTCATATTTTGTGACAATTTTTAACTTATATAATCTTTTTTTATTTAGCTTTTAACTAACACATGCAATCATCAAATGACTTTTATTTACATTTTATGGTGGTTTCTAAATCCCCACAAAATGATAAAATCAATTAGAAAAATTTCTTTTACACTTAATGTCAGTTTCTAGACTGTTACAAAATGATAAAATCAAATAAAAAATTATGTAATCAATTAAAATTTGTTGTTGTAAATGTTAATTGTACCTGTCTGAGGGCACACTCCTTTTCTTCTGGGTGAAAGGGGACCGAATAAGAGCTCCAACGATATCTCCAAGGGATGGGGGAGGTACCTGCAAAGGGTACTCCGACGCTCAAGTCAGTATATGCACGAATATCTAGGGTAAAAATGAACAGTGACATACCTCGTTATGTGTGACCTATTTATAGTGCCTGACGTGGGCCTGAGCATTGTGGGCCTTTTCAGGTGTTTACTAAATTAGGTAATACGATGTTAATTACTTACTTACTGACTTAACCATGCGCTTACCTGCTAATCATAATTAATAGCCGTCCTTCACCTATCGGTACGGTATTTCGCCGATCCGATAGGTAAAGGGATGGGGCGCTATTATTAATTGGGTTGATCAACAGTTGTCTGACTATCTTGCCCTACGGGGGACTCTCCGGCTCGGTCTTATGCCGAGCCGTTAGTAACATTCGTCTCGGACATTGGCTGGACCGATGTTTCCGACATCATGGCGTAGGTGTCTGACAGAACGGCATGTGTTGGTCAACGTGACCGATAGGGACCTTCCGGTACATTAATTATATAAAAAATATTTTTTTTATCATAACACTAATTATAACAATATGTATTTGGAAGAGCAGAAATGTCCTCATTTTCTAGAATAAACTATGGACAACTTGGCATATTATTAGTCAAGTCAACAATCTTTCCTTGGACATGATCAACTTTTTTCAATATCCACAATTATCAAGGACCAGGAAAACCATGTCTTAGGCACCTCTGACCCCACCCTTTGTGAAACTTGACATAGAAAATTCCTCTTTTAGTGACCCAAGAGACTTGAGCTTTGGTGGAATACTCAGGGATTATTTTGGAAAGTGGGTATAAGGCTTTAGACATGTTTGTGAATCAGACTCAACCCTAGCCTTGCAATGGATTTAGAATGGAGCTAATATGTTTCATCCTTATTATCCCCGGATACATCTAATTCATAAACATATGAGGTTGGATTGGACTATTACCTTCCAACATACCCTTCGTGAGGGCAATTCATGTGCAAACTAGCTTGCCAAGTATGGAGCAATGCATCAAGATGCTTCTCCCATTTGGAACGATTGTTCTTCCTAGCTATCCTCACATGTTTTAGCTAATAAAATGGGTGTTGTCTATCTAAGAAATTAGTTTTCTTGTTTCCTTTTATTTTCTATTTTGTGTTTCATTTCCCTTACACAAAAAAACCTAAATTTTTACTTTATTTCTCATTTATTTCTTTTCTCTCCACCAAACACACCCTTAAAGTTTTCAACATGCCTAAACAACACAAGTCAAAGTACGAAAGGTTTGCACTTGCAAAGTTTTAAGAAACCCAAACCTTTTTATTTCTGGCGTGTGGTCTATCGTCACGCCTTTTGTCGATAGCGACAACCTTTGACACTAACCTAACATGTACGAAGTTGCAAATGGAAACTGATTAAGAAAGTGGTGGAGTTATTATTTACTTATTTATTTTTATTTTAATTACATTTATGCTGCAACTGCTAATTTTTGCTTTGTTTGGATCATGGAATTGGTCAGCATGAGGCTCGATACCTATTTTGCCAATAGTATCCAGATGTTAATATTTGAGTTATTTTTCTAGTTTTAGACTTGTGACGTTATCATTAGCTATTTGGGTCAACTTGTTTTTTTTTTTTATTGTGTTTCAAAGTGTTGATCAAACTCTAGCAATGGGTAGAACAAGCACATTCATCCATTTTAACATCCTTATCAAAAAATAATTACATATTGCATGAGTTAGGAATTTGATGATTATGTCACATTGAGGTATGCATATGATTATGCCTAATTATTTTCTCTTTTTTTCCTAAGTTTATTTGTGCAGAGCCAAGAAGTGTATGATGGAGGGGTAAATGACTTGTTCTGTACACTAGACAAGTTAGAGGATAACTTGGCCAATTCTCGGTACTTATATGGAGACACATTGACCCTTATGGATATTTGTCTATTTACTACTTTAATTCTGTTTGATCTTGCTTATAACATTCTTTTAAATGCACTAAGATGGAGCTTTATAAGTGCCCTAATCTAGTTGTGTGGCATTTATTAGGATTTTGTTCAAGCTAGGTAAAGCTACTACATATGAATACGACTTTCTTGTGTTTTTGTTGACATTTTATAAATTTTGTAATGATTTTCATATCATTTATGGTTGGTGTATGATTTGTAACATATATTTGATGAAATCACTTATATGAGTGTTAAGTGGGATCACTTCTATGAGATCATGATGAGATCTTTGGAACACTCATAAATATTGAGCATACGCATGACCTATTAACGCACAAAAACATGACCTATTAACGCACAACAACATGACCTATTAACGCACAACAATAATAACAATAAGGATTGTCACCATAAAAAAAGTGTAAAATAGTGATCAAATTTAGTGATCGAAAAAAATTAGTATCTAATCTGTGATTGAATCAGCAACTGATTTAATATTTGGTCATTACATTTCGTTAGTGACTGAATTAATTAATAACAAGACATTCAATCACTGAATCTGTTGTTGTCTTAAAATGTTTTTTATAATTAAACTTTGCGACCAAATTAGTGACCAAATTGTTAAATTTTTAGATATAAATAACGACCAATGGTAATTTGGTGGCTAAAAAATGTTATTAATGTCTAATAGCGACCGCATACAATTCAATAACAAAAAAATTCAATAATAGCAATCAAATATAAAATTGGTCACAACACATTCTAAT